GGAATATCTCGGTGCCTGTTTGTGAAACTATTCCTCATCCATCTGTTATTTACATCATTCCTTTTCCTGAGGTGTCTCCAACAAATGCTGGCTGCACGCTCTGGATGTGTTATTAATAAAACAGCTGTAAAAATATGAACTGCACGGCCTAATTGTCAGCCCCGAGCGGGAGCCAGACCCATCCCGGCCGGATGCTGGCCCTGGAATGTGGTTGTCCTCCAGAGCCCGCCCTGCTCCGTGCTCTGCTCCTGCAGCCCTCCATTCCAGCCCTGCCAGCATGCCAGGCTGCTCCCAGCCCGGCCCCTGTGCCAGGGCCTGCCCACCGTGCCAGGCAGCAATGGTGTGATGGAGCCCTGGGACCACCTCACTGCACTCACTAAAGCTCCACTTCAGAGATAACGCCCGAATTTTCATTCTGCCCTGGCCAGGTCATGGCTCTGCTTGAAGGGCAGCCCGTGGCATGGCATGAGCAGCTCCAGCTCCTCCCAGGGACACTTCCCAGAGGAATGTCACTAGGCTCAGAGTGAAAACTTTCATTTTGGGCACCTGTGGCCATGCAAGCCGCTGAGGGGAAAAGGCACCAGGAGCTGGGCTCAAGCCAGGCTGTGTTTTACCCTGAGCTGTGCTCTCCTGGGAGCTGGAGGCTGAGGATGAGTGTTTGTGGCATTTTTGATGTTTCCATGGGGATTGCTATAGAAACAACTCTGCTACCCCTTCATTTATTAATTTACTTTGTTAGGGAACCAAAGGTAAACCTCAGCTCCAAAGAAACAATGGCTTGAAAGAGATTTCGCCGGGCTCCGCCATCCTTGTTTTCCAGCGAAAGGCCTTGAGTTTGTGTTTAAAGGACAACATTTGCAGCTAATTTAATCCAGTCAAAGGCATGAGATTCCACAAGGTTTCCTTTGAGACTGGAAAACAACAGCTGATCTGTGTCATAACACATTACAGCCAGCGTGCTTCAGCTCCTGCTGCGGAGCATCCTGGGCACCGAGCTGGGACAGCTTCAGCAGCCCAGCTCCAAACCCTCCTTCCCTGGGCAGGGACAACTTCCCCAGCCCAGCTCCAAACCCTGGGGCAGAGCTCCAGAGGGTGCTCAGATCACTTCATTGTCATGGTGGGAATGTAAGAGCATCAAGAAGCCAACCTGACGTTTGAGAGCGTTGAAATCTCGCTGCAACACCCCACTGTGGGCTCCAGCTCCTTCCCTCGGTGATTGCTGTGTCTCTGCAGCTCAGGTTGTTTTCCTTGAGTCTGGAATCCTCCCAGAGGGGATGCAAAGGGATGAAATCCCTAAGAATTGCCCTGGAGAGCAGCAATCCATGGGAAGGGATTGGTGTAGGAATGGCCAGCACATCTCCATATGGCAGCCGGCTTCTCCTGGCAGCCCCAAATCGAGTTAGGATGAGTAGCTGGAATTACATTTCATTGTTGTTTTTAATATTTGAAATGTAGCTTCGATTGCAGGCCCGCTGCTGCTCCGGGGGGAGAAGTGCCCATGAACAGAAGCCTGGGATAATTGCTCTGCTTTGGAGGGACTGGGAGAAACGTCAGGAGGAAAAACATGCTCCAGATGGGAATGCTTTAAATCCAGGGCAGCAAGTTCGATCAGTACCCCATTTGGGGAGTGAGGATTCTTTGGAAAGGAGGGAAAAGTCCCTGTGTGAGATCCCAGGGAAATCCAAGCGTCCTGGCAGCGAGAGGAGGTGTCCCAGACCCTAAACCCAGTGCTACTCCATCCAGCAGCCCAGGCACTCGTGTGTGCGGGAGCTGTGCCCTGGCCCCCGGTGCCAGCCCTGGTGCCAGCCCCGCACAGAGCCGAGCTGCGGGCACGGCCAGAACCACCCGGAGCCCCTGCAGCACGGATCCGCAGCTCTTCCAGGTGAACTCATTCCCTGCCCTACTTAAAAACGGGGCACGTTCCCAAAACGTTTGGGTATGAAAAGCCGCGGGTCCCAGCGGGGAGGTGCTGACACCTGTGACAACGAGCAGCCTGTTCCCGGCTTGTTCTCAGGTGCTTGCTGAGAAAAGGCACCTCCCAAGGCGTGATCCCACATCCTCAGCGGTATTTTGGGACCTCTGAAGCCAAGAGCTCGGCCAGGGCTGTTTGAATCACCGTGGGATTATGGGATGCTTTAAGCTGGAAGGGATTTTGAGGATCAGCTCGTTCCACGCCATGACCAGGGTGCTCCAAGCCCCAGTGTCCAACCTGGCCTTGCTCACTCACAGGAACCCACAGCCTGGCCACGCTCCCAGCTGGGAATTCCTTCCCAATATCCCACCTAAACCCCCCTTGTCATTGAAGCCGTGGGTTCAAAGGGTTCCACGCCTGGCCACCCTGTGCCCCAGAATTCCCGAAGAACTCGGCACTCTGTTTTCCATTCGCCTGTGGCAATGCACTGAATAAACTCCTGCCACACATCTGGTTAGGAGCAGGGCAGCAGGAACAGGGCAGCAGCAGGCCAGGTGCTCTCCCTGCTGTCCCGTGCAGGGACAGCTCCGTGTCCCCGCTGCGCTGCCATGGCAGCAGCTCCAGTCAGCGTGCAGCTGCAGCTGCAGCGCAGGGAACGCGCAGGATGCCGTGTCACACATGAGTGACTCCCGGGCAGCCCGAGTGACAGATGCATTTCCTCGACTCCAGGCCGGGCTCCAGCACAAACCACTCTTCATTTATCAATAATTGGGCCTTAATTTCATTTGGCAGCGCTGGAGCAGCATGCTCAGCTTCCTCTCCAATAGACTCCCGCTAATTAGGCTGGCTTTGGGCATCAATCTCTTGATTTGAGCCTCTAATAATCAGCCCAGATCCTGCTTTTTGCACAGGACATGGTGGCTTTATCCATAAGTCATTATTAGCCATAATGCAATGGGAATGGGAACCGCTCTGTTATTGATGGCTCCGAGAGGCAGGAGCAGGAATCCCTCTCTGCCTCTTCACGTCTTGGCTCCTCTGGAACAAGAAATGTTGTGCTCCACAAGGTCTCAGGCACCAGAAAGAGTGCTTGTGGTCTTTGGGGAAGGGTTTGTACAGGCACACAAGTTTGGGCTGGCTGGAGAGGCTGGGAACTCCCCATCCCTCTTAGAGTCCCAGGCCAGGGTTTGGAACAGCCTGGGACAGGGCAAGGTGTCCCTGCTGTGGGAGCAGGATGAGCTTTAAGGTTTGTCCCATCCCAAAGCATTCCTTGATTCTGTGTGCATGAGCAAGGCCAGGTTCCTCCATCTCCCAGTGTAAAATTTTTTTTTCCCTCTGCTCCTCCTCACAGCCCTTTGGTGCCCAGGGTGACAGCCTGAGGGCCGTGCCCAGCTCGTGCCCAGCTCGAGGGCAGCGCTCAGCCCCAAAATTCTCTCCAGGAGGGGCTCCCAGCACAGTTCTCGCTCCGAGGGTTTGCTGGCACAGCCCAGCTCAGGGATGGCTCCTCAGGGCTGATTGCTGATGAGCTCCTGGAGTTTGCTGTGCAATCCAATCCAATCCACAGCATAATTGAAGAGCGTGAGCAACAAAATTCCTCCTTGTTTCACCCCAGTAACTCCACCAAATTCAGCGGAGAGCGCTCCATATGGTCCCGCACCAGTCGGCTGATGTGTGGATTGTGCCAGAATAGATGAAATCTCCCACGTCTTGGTGGCTGGTTGTTATTAAAGATCTGTCCCAGCAATTCATTGGGATTGGAAGGCACTGCAGCCTCTGGAAAAATGATGGATAGTGCTGCTGTGCAGCTCGGAGAGGGATGGAAAATCTGGGCTCGCGATGCTTGGCTGAACAGCACCGTGCCCACGTGTACTCCCTCCACTTCTGGAAAAGTCCAACCTCAAAGCCACTCATTTCCAGGAAGAAAGCAGCTGGATCTCAAGGGCCTCTTCCCAAATGAGCTGTGCAACTCCTGGGGGACAACCCCTTCTGGTGTCCCTTGCCCTGGGCTGCAGCCCTGCCACTTAAAAAAGATTTGTTCTGAGGCTCTCAGTGGCCCCGGGCCCTTAACATTTCTTTTGGCCTATAAACAAATTTTATCGTTTTATTGGAGTCAGGAAAATTGCTGCATCCATCTTGGAACGTGGAGCATTATCCCATTAAAGACAAGTAGCTGATGAATGAAATCAGGCTTTAAGCACACCGGTGTGGAGTACAAAGTTGCTAAGTTTGCTTCCATTGCAGGATCTCTTACTCACTGTTTACTCCCATCCCACTCTCGCCCGAAGCCCGGGAGATGCCAGGGCAGGGAGCCATGGCTGCAGAGGGAGGGGGATATTCTGTGCTGCTCCCAGCTGGCACGATGACAGGATTTCCTGGGGGAAGGCCCCTCTGGATAAGGAGTGCAGCTCTGCACAGGGCACCCCAGAATGCTCCTGTGCCTGCTGCCCATGGGCACCACGGAGGGCCCTTGCCAGCCCCGTGCCACAGGGCAGCAGGGCATCCCTGGGGAGCAGGGCAGGCGTGGAGCACAGCGCAGAGCCCCCGGCCCCTTCCCTCGGCTGCCCCCACGGATCCGTCCCTTCCTCATTCCCAGACTTTTCTGGGCGGTTACCATGGCAATGCTTTGCCTCAATAGGGTCCTTGTGAACTTGTTTACCATCCCAATTATAACATTTTCCAATCCCAGCTCCTTCTGACAGCTCCGTGTCTCCCATCTGTGCCTGATCCCATCGGCGCTCCCCACGCCCCGCCTCAGGCCCATTCCCTAATTCCCAATTCCCAGTGAGGAAAGGGAGCTGGCAGCAGCAGCTTTCCCAGAGGACACGGCAGGATGGAGGGAGCAGCCTGGCCTCGCTGGGGATGGCCCAGGGATGCAGAATCCCTGGAGCACCCAGTGCCTGAGGGTGTCACGGATGGAGCCTTTTCCCCTCTGCTCCATCCAGCCTGGGCCCGGATGGGTGTGGGCATTGTGAGGGCTCAAGGAATGTGTGGTGTGTTCTCCACCGGGCAGCACCAGAGCACCAAGATTCCCTAAGGAAAAAACCACAAAGCACAGGGAAAGGTAGAGAAACCAGAGGCTTTCACACACCTGCCAGAGGAGAGATTGGAGTGGATCCCTCAGTCCTGCAGGCAGGAGGGCGCTGACATCCACGGGGGAAGCTGCAGCCAAAGAATGTCAGGCTGGAGATAAGCAGGCCTGGGGACAAAGTTCCAGCTGGGATGAGAGTGCAGCCACTGGAAGCTCCAAGTCCCCAGATGAAGACCTTCTGGAAGCTTCCTCTGGCAGGACTGGGCCGGGTGCAGCTTTTCTGGGGCGGAGATGAAGTCGAAAGCTGATAAAGGTCCCTTGTCTGTGGATCTGGAAAAGAAAAGTGCACTTCAAAAAAAAAAAAAAGGAAATCTGTGCAGGGCTGGCCGCTGCCAAGGCGTGACTCAACCCCGACAGGCGCAGATTCCTCCCGGCTCGGGAGCTTTCCAAATCACTCGGCGTTCTCAATGGCTCCATTATGAGCCTCTGAAAGAGCATTGTGGCCTCGGGGCTGGGCTGAGGAACCCACCGGGCTCGCCAGAAAAGCGGCAATGGGAGCGGTGCACGTGGCCGGCAGAAGCTCCTGAGGCACCAGGGAAAAACGAGATTGCTCCGGGAAAGAGCAAAACAACAAAACACAACAGGAATCCACAGTCCCTCAAAGAAAACATTGCAATCCTCCCCAAGGATCACTTGAACTGCCTGAACACAGTGCCTGCTTTTTGGATGAGGGTGGGACACGAGGATCCCAAAAATCCGGAGTCACTGCGGTTGGAAAAGAGCTCCAAGACCATCTGGTCCAAGCTGTGCCCGGTCCCTACCTTGTCCCCAGCCCAGAGCACTGAGTGCCCCACTCCAGTCCTTCCGTGGGCACTCTGGGAATGTGGAACATTATCCCATTAAAGACAAGTAGCTGATGAATAAAATCAGGTTTAAAAACCTCCCTGGGCAGCCCCTGGCAGAGCCTGAGCACCCTTTCCAGGGGGAAATCTTTTCCATCCTTAACGATTCCCTGCCCAGGGAAGGGGCATATTCCCCTCCCCACTGGCCCGGAATGCAGCATGGATTTATTCTCAGCACAACCAGCACAGGAGATCAGACGCTTGCACAGGCTTCCAAAGCGCCATTTGTCTCTTTTTTCCTCATCTCATTTTCATCCTGTTCCTCTTTCTCTGATTGCAATTTGCAATCCTGGAACAGCGACCGAGAGACCGGCAGCAAAAGGCACCGGGAACCCTCTGAGAGCGTGGAAAGGGCCAGCAGCAGCTCTGGATCCCAATCTCCATCTTCCCACCCGTGCTCATCCCTCCCCTTCCGTGCCCACCCGCATCTGCCTCTCCATGTGCCGTGGGGGAGGCTCTGCCCGTTTGTGGCACTCCCAAAACGATGGCTGGGCCTGCTGGGTGTTCCAGCTCCCCGTGCCAACACTCTCAGGGCAGCGTTGCCCTGCTTGCCAGGCTATTTGGGCTGGCCTTTGCTTTTTTCATCCCACTAAGCTGGGAACTAAGTTTGGAGCCACGGAGCTGGAAAAGGGAAAAAGCACAACAGGCCTGGTTTAAAAATGGATGGGATGGGCCCGGACTGTCTGCACAGCCAAAGGGATTCAGTCACCCGGATCCTGCCTGGAGCTCACAGTCCAGAAATCCCCGTGGGACATTCCTCACATCCAGCAGCTCTGATCCGTTGCCCTCCGAGGGTCTCTTGGAGCACATTCCATGAGATTCCTGCCTCGGTGGGAAGAGGGAGAAGGAACCAAAGCACAGCTGGGGTTTGTGGATAGCAGGATGGTGTCTCTTTCCAGGGGAGCATCACTCCAGCTCTTCCTCCCTCCCCTTCCTCCGTGCTAGTTTTCTAACAACACCTATCCCGCTGCCCAGCTCCTCGGCAGAAAGATTTGCTAAAACAAGGATTTCATATTCCTGTATCATCCCCTCCTCTGGATGGTTTCTGATGATGGAAGGAAGGAGCTTGGAGCCTGCTGGAATTTGAGAGACAAAGAGGGGAAAATGGTGCTTCTGGCGCGTTTGGTTTTAATGGGAGCAGCAGTGTAATTTCACCGGGAGCCTGAGAGCTGCAGCTCCAATGGCTGCTGTAATTAAGTGGGAAGGGAGGTGCTGGGAATGACAGGTTTCCATTTGCAGTACAAACACTCTTCCCAAAATTACGGCTGCTCGGCAACAAATGTGCCACCTGCGCGAAGCCGGGGAGGAGCAGCTTCTGCCATCCATGTGTGGATGCACAAGGCAGCTGAGCGGTGGCACGAGGAGCTCTGGAGCTCCTGGGGAGTGCCCTCGGCATGCCAGGGGTCCCGGGCACTGCCCCTTTTGTTTGCCCGGCCCCTCTTCCTGGGATGGAGGGAGAGGCCGCTCGCTGGGGTTGTCTTTGAGAGAAGCAACAATTGCTTACGTTGAGCAGCTGGGAAGTGAATCCCGGAGCGGTGGAGGGATGCACGTAGCTGTTGGGACATCTGTGGCATCTCTGCCCCATCCTCCAGCCCTCTCCTCTCCTCTCCTCCGGCTCCTTTCCCAGCTCCTCACCGCCCTAAAGCCAACCCGGCTCCTCTGGGCTGCGCTGTGATGGCAACTATTCCACGAGTGGAAACTAGGGGGAAGAATTTCACCGGGATAAAGCTGCCGGAAAAAAAGGCGGCTGGCTGGCGCGGGGAGGGAGAGTCACTTCCCCCTCTTACCTCGTGCTTCTGCAAGTCACAACTTTTGTCAGGCTGCGAATTCCCAAACCCCGCGGGCTCTCCCCCCTCTCTCTTTCCCGAGTCTCGGCTGCTCGGCGTGGGGCCAGGGAAACGGGGAGGGGAATGCCATCCTCGCCTCAGCCCGGGGAGGGCACACGGCGCTTTCCCAGCGGCTCCGACGCTTCCGTGCCCAGGGACACAGCAGGATGTTTGCCTGGATCCTTCCCTTCTCCGGGTTGGACACCCCCGGGAGAGCAGCAGGAGCTCCTGAGTGCCCATTCCCAGTTTGCAGAACCCCCCTTTTGGAAACAGGGAGAGGAAGCAGAATGAACTCCAGGCGGCCCTGGAAGCGTCCCCACGGAGAGGCTGCGAGCGCAGTCCACAGCTGCATGGCAGTGAAATCCCCTGGAAAAGCAGGAGATCTGGAGCTGCCTGCATGGCTCCCTCCTCCTCCTCCCCCTCCCTGTGATGCAGAGCTCCTTCCCTTGGTAGACACTTCTCCCGATCGTTCCAAGCAGAAGGGAGCCATGGTGACTTGGCAGGAGCTGAAGATCCGCCTTTGGAGCATGAATCAGCCCCATCATTCCTGAGGAAAGGAACATTTTGGGAGGATTTATGGCAGAGCAGGCTCCCATCGGATCTGCTGTCACAGAGCCTGCTAAAGGCTCCAGATAAAAGGCTCGCAGTTTACAGCCCTGGAAAATTGGAATGCGTTCCCTGCTGCGAGCACACGGCACGGACTCGCAGGGATGCTGCCCGTGGAGCAGCTCCAGGCCATGGAGTTTCTTTTTCCTTGTTTCACGTTAATATTTCAGCGTGTCCACAGAGTTCTGCCATCCAGAATTCCAGTGTATTCCCAGAGAAAGCTGAGTTCGGGGATATTCCCATCCAGCCGGGCCTCCACAATGAACCTCCTGATCAAAGGCCAGGTGATGAAATCCCATCCCAAAATATTGTTCCATCCAACAGCCCAAGCTATTCCAAATTCAGGAGCTGTACTAAAAACTGCCACGGAATCTGTCCCACACCTGGGAAATGCAACTGCTGGAACTCAGGAGGGCTCCTGAGCTTCTTCCAGAAGGTTCAAGCTCAAAGGAAAATTTCTCAGGTTTGAAATGAGTATCTAAATACATTGTATTTTACTCATTGTACATGAGTATCTAAATACAAAAATAATTAGGAAAAAAAAAGTAGGAAGTTGGGGAGAGAAGATTTAAGAACAAAGAATAAGTTTGTGGAATGAAATTTAGGAAGTTTGCACCAACAAAGTAAGGAGGATCGGAAAAAAAGACATTTGTACAAAAAGAAGAAGTTTCCGCAAAAAAATTAAGAAGTTTGTCACAAAATTAAGAAGTTTGCTGCAAAAGCTTCTCAAGCGAGCCCAGAATCTTTCGCAGGGAGGAGCTGCACAAAAGCAGCTCCCTGAACATGTTTTGCCTTTCCCAAAGCTGTTCCCTAAATGTCACTTTTATCGCCTTCTCTCCCAGCCTTTATGACCATATGTGTTTTTATGATATTCACAACATGCTTGTGCCACACAAGATGCAAATGCAATTTCCTGCTGGAATGGCTCAATATGCACAGCAACAACTGAGGGACACAAATGAAGGAGAGGTGCCTGGGGGGGCTGTCTGCCCCATCCCCTTGGGAATTACCTGGGAAAGGCTGGGCCACACCTCGGCCCTTCCTCAGGGCAGCCTCCTCCTCCTCCTTCTCCTCCTCCTCCTCCTCAGGGTCTGGCCAGGACACCTTGGGCACCTCCAGACCTCCTGGTGCCACCCAAACCAAGAGTCCTTTCCTGGGGAAATTCCTCCTGGTGTCACCCAAACCAAGAGTCCTTTCC